TATAAAACTCTGATTTCATTCAGAAAGCAACAAGCTCAGGGCAGGTGGACTCATCCTCTAACCCTAGGTATAAACCATGCCTGCATTGAGCCAACCATTTCTTTTTAAGTAATGATTGCTTTAAATGTGGGAAAGATTTTGCTCCTTGACAACAAGAAAGGTAGAAGAAAGGTATTCCTATTATTCTTGCCTTGAACATGGTTGTGTAAAGTTACAATGCTTGTAGCCTGAGCAGTCATCTACTGACCATGGAGTGAGTATACTCAGGATGAAAAGCCAACATGCCAAGAAGAAAGAATGGCAGAGAGAAAGGAATGGAAAAGAATGAGTCCTGGATTGTTATTACTGAGCCACTTAACCAGCATTCCAATGACCTACTTCTTAAGATAACTGAATTAGTTTATTGTTTAAACTACTATTACTCAAGTTTCCTATTACTTGATGCCAAAAGTGCTCCTGATTTTACACATAAGGAATTTTCATTATAAAATATATCATAAGATTAAAGAAATAAGTTCTATTTTCCTTCTTACAATAATACACAATGAATAAATAATAGAAGTTTTCTTTTAATTTAGAATTATCAAAACTAAATTAACACGAGCAATCCTGATACCATATTTTAAACAACTATGTCACTTGGAGAGAGTTTTGACTAATTATACTACAGCTTACTCTCTAGGTAAAAAGAGAAAGACTTCACTCTTCAAAAACTTAAGTAAAATAAATCAAGAAATCACACCATTCAAACATGAATCTGAAACAGATCAGTTTCTCTTAGAATTGCCAGGTGTACATTTTTGGCTTTTCTAGTCTATCTACTCATAAATTTCTGACATTTATTATACTAAATCGTATTTCTTAGATTTCTTATGAACTTTGTGAAGTATTCCACGATCGACTAATGATAAATCATAATTCTTTATACCATGTGTCTCCGTTTCTGAGCCTACCATTCAGGATTCTCATGCTACACACTGCTTAATAAAGATTTCAACACTATAAAATTTACCACCACGATTACCTCAGACATTTCATAATATTTAAGACTCACAGATTATAGTTATGACTAAATCACATAATTACATCTGAGGTATACATTTCTGATTTTTAACAAAGAAAAAGAATGAAAATGTATACATATTGTCAACTCTTGATTATCTGGGCCAAAGTAGGAGACATCTGGTATAAAAAACTGAAAAATGAGATACATATATCAGAATAACCCACCCTCCATATTGAATTGAGATTATATTCTCACTCTTAGAATCAATGTTTTCTCCACTAACATCAAGCCAAATGCTGCAATTTATCACTTTCTCTAATTTTTCAATACTAAATATCACAGTTACTTTTGTATCAAAATCTTTGTTGAGAAGTACTTACCAGAGAATAGCCAAAAATACAATTATCTTTTCCATGTAACTTTTACAAAGGAACAAAAAAGAATTACAAAACTCAAAAGCAATGAGCTGGTTTCCCTCAGCAAATATTACCTTATTCTATCAATCAAACAAGAGAAAAACACAATTAAAAATGTACTAATAGGGGCGTCTGGGTGGCTCAGTGGGTTAGGCCTCTGCCTTGAGCTCGGGTCATGATCTCAGGGTCCTGGGATCGAGCCCCACATCGGGCTCTCTGCTCAGCGGGGAGCCTGCTTCCCCCTCTCTCTCTGCCTCTCTGCCTACTTGTGGTCTCTGTCTGTCAAATAAATAAATAAATAAATAAAATCTTTAAAAAAAAAAAAAAGAAATAGCCAACATTTCAAAAAAAGAATGTACTAATAATTGGAACAGTAATACTGATTGGTTAAATCACTATATGAATAGCCTTCTTAGCGCAGTGGATAATGCGTCAGTCTCATAAATCACCGCATGAGGATATGAAAGATGCTCAAAATAGTACAATAAAGAATAGTGCCAAATATTTATCTGGTCGCTATTTTAAGTGTTCTCTGACTACAGTTCAGCCTACCAACCTATTAATAGGGAGTTTAACATAAAGTTCGTGCATGAAACTCTCTCATAAATGAAATATAAATAAGCAGTAACCAAGAACAAAGAAGCCTAAACTGTTTATGGAACCACAAAAGATCCCAAATAGTCAAAGCAATCTTGAGAAAGGACAAGGGTGGAGGTATCACACTCCCTGATTTCAAGCTATCAAAGCTATAACAATCAAAACAGTATGGTATTAGCATGAAGCAGACACAAAGATCAACGGAACAGAATAGAAACCCCAGAAATAAACCTATGGATGTATGGTCAATTAATCTATGACAAAGGATGTAAGAATATACAATGAGGAAATGACAATTTCTTCAATAAATGGTGTTGGGAAAACTGGACAGCTACATGCAAAAGAATGAAACTGGACCACTATCCTACACCATACACAAAAATTCAAAATGTGTTAAAACCTTGAATGTAAGACCTGACACCTCAAAACCACCAGAAGAAAACATAAGCAGTAAGTTCTTTGACATGGATCTTAGTATTGTATTTTTGGACCAGTCCCCTAAGGCAAGGACAACAAAAGCTAAAATAAACAAACAGGATTGCATCAAACTAAAAGCTTTTGCACAATGAAGGAAATCAACAACAAAACAAAAGGCAACCAACTGAACAGGAGAAGCTATTTGTAAATCATATATCCAATAAGTGATTAATATCCAAAATATATAAAAAACTTATATAACATATATCAAAAAACAAACAACCCAATTAAAAAATGGGCAGAGGACATAAACAGCCACTTTTCCGAAGAAAACACACAGATGACCAACAGGCACATGAAAAGATGCTCAACATCACTAGTAATCAGAAAGATGCAAATCAAAACACAATGAGATATCATCTCATCACACTGCTCATATTGGCTAACATCAAAAAGATAAGAAACAAGTTTTGGTAAGGACATGGAGAAAGGGGAATCCATCAACTGCTGGGAATATAACTTGGTGCAGCCAGTCTGGAAAATAGCATTAAGGTTCCTCAAAAAGTTGAAAATAGAACTAGCATAAAATCCTAGTTCTAGGTATTTATCCAAACAAAAAGGAAACACCAATTTGAAGAGATATATGCATCCCTAAGTTCATTATAGTATTATTTACAATAGCCAAGCTATTGAACCAACCTAAGTATCCATTGCTAGAAAAATGGATAAAGATGTGGTATGCAAGTAATTTTTGAACAACACAGAAGTTAGGGGCCTCGATCCAACACAGTTGAAAATCTATGTATAACTTCTGACACCCCAAAACTTAATTACTAATAGCCTGTTGACTGGAAGCCCTACCAATAACATAAACAGTTGATTAACACATACTTTGCATATTTTATGTATTAGATATTATATTCTTCCAATAAAGTAAGTTAGAGAAAAGAAAATGCTATTAAAATCATAAGGAAGGGAAAACAGATTGATAGTACTGTACTATATTTATTTTAAAAATCCACATATAAGTAGACCTCTGTAGTTCATTCAAACCTGTGTTGTTTAAGGGTCAACTAAATGGGGTACCTGGCTGGCTCAGTCGGTAGAGCATCCAACTCCTGGTCTGAGGGTTCTGAGTTCAAGCTCCATGTTGGGTGTAAAGATCACTTAAATAAATAAAACTTTAAAAAAGGGGGGTCAACTGAATATATACAATGGAATATTACTCAGCCACAAAAAACACAAATTCTTGCCATTTGCAAAAACATGGAGGGTATTATGCTGAGTGAAATAAGTCAGAGAAAGACAAAAACTGTGTTATTTCACTTAGTATGGAATCTAGATAACACATGAACAAAACAAAACAAAAACAGATTCATATAAACAGGAAACAAACTGTTGGTTATCAGAGTGGGAAGGGGTTGTGGGGTGGACAAAATAGGTGAAGGGGATTAAGAGGTACAAACTACTTATAAAATAAGTAAATCAAAAAAATAAAATAAGTAAATCATGGGGATATATCTAGGGAACACGGAATATAGTCAATAATATTCTAGTAGGTTTGTACGGTGACAGATGGTGACTAGACTTATCATGGGAATCATTTCATAAAGTATAAAAATATTAAACCACTATGATATACATGCAAAACTAACAGGATTTTTTATGTCAATTATATTTCAATTTAATAATAATAATAAATGTATTTTAACTTTGGGGAAAAAAAGGTATTATATAATTTCCTCACATAAAATTCCATGAAATGGTTCTTTCGGATTCTAATGACTCAAATAATTTATCAACATACAGAAAAAAAAAAGCAGTGACTAAAGCAATCAACAGAACAATGCAAACAGTTTATACAGCCAGTCTCTAATAAAATAATCTATTAAGCATCCAATAAGTCAATATATGTCATCAATTGTTACCAGAATATGTTCAATAAAAATGACACAGGCACAAATTTCTGTAAAGATATAACCACATCTAATACATTTCCTGAAAGCTCGTTTTGTTGCAGACACTGGTCTAAGTGCTTTACATGTATCATTTTTTTCAATCCTTGCAATAATCCAGTGAAATATGTACTCTATCATTTCCACTCTAAAGTGATAAAACCATGGCAGAGAAAGTTAAATAATTTCACCAAAAGTCACACAGCTAGTAAATAGTAGAGACAGGATCTGAACTCAGGTGGTTCAACTTGAGCACCAACATTCGTTACCACTAAGCTACTGCTGGTTCATATCTCATTCAATTCCTAATAAAGAAACTGCAAAACCACCAGAAAAAATACTGTTAGCCCAGGATGGTTCTTCAGTTTATGTCCAAAGGAGCCTCTAAGGCATAAAGTGTTCTGCTCTCAAAGTTCTTAGCATATTCCAGCTGCTGAGTACATAGGTAACCTTCAGGAGAATAAAATTTCAAAGATGAGCCTATAATATGCAAGGTAATCCAAGAAAATGAGGATGCTGAAGATGAGTAACATATTTTCCTTTTAAATTTTCTTAAATAATCTGCATTAACTATGATAAACAATAAAATCAAGTTAAAATGGTCCATACCATTGTTTGACCGGTAAATTAAAAGTAATTTCTTGCCAATGTCTCTGAGCTTCATAATCACCAAACATAGGGGGTTTTCCAGCACCTAGATGAAAGGTAAAAAGAGCCAGACAACAATATACTTTAATGTATCAATGATATTTATTTCCTTACAAAAATTTTCTAAATCATAGAAAGGCAGTATAGGTTAAAGCAATATAGGTTAAAAAAACGAACACAGACATTACCAAAACAGCAGAGATAAGGTAGGAATCCTAGCACTGCTAGTACAATGAGTGACTGTGTGACCTTGGACGAATTACTTAACCTCCCTAAGCCTTGGCACTTTGAAACAGGATCTACCTACGTGCCCCTGGATGGGTCAGTTGGTTAAGTGTCTGCCTTCAACTCAAGTCACGATCCCAGGGTCCTGGAACTGGGCCCTGCTTTGGGCTCCTTGCTCAGCAGGGAGCCTGCTTTTCCCCTGCCTGCTGGCCCCCCCGCTTGTGCTTGTTCTGGCCCTCTCTCTGTAAAATAAATAAAATCTTTTTAAAAATAAATAAATAAAAGCTATTATTAACATTAATTAGTTAATTGTACTAACTATAAAATATCCAAGTTTATTTTTACTTCATGAGAAAGACTATCAATTATACTGTCCGGTAAGTATCAAGTACAATAATAATAATGAGTATCTGTGTTTTACAAAGGGCTTTTGCAAACTAAATATAAATAACTGAAGGTCAAGTATAGAACCAAAGCCAGACTACCTGTTACAAAGAAATCTGTTAGGGGGCACGTGGGATGCTCAGTGGGTTAAGCCTCTGCCTTCGGCTCAGGTCATGATCTCAGGGTCCTGGGATCAAGCCCCACATCGGGCTCTCTGCTCAGCAGAGAGCCTGCTTTCCCCACTCTCTCTGCCTGCCTCTTTGCCTATTTATGATCTCTCTCTCTCTCAAATAAATAAAATTTAAAAAGAAAAACAAAACAAAACAGAGATCGGTTAGGTCAGGCTTTGCTGTCAAATGACTGATATAAAGAATATTGGTTTACAGCTTTTTTTTTTATTTCAAAATTGCTAATTCAGGGTAATAAATCTTTAATAACTAATAATTGATAGCCCCTACTATGTGCCAGATATAGCAATGAAATAAGTATTATTATTATCCCCACTCTACAGCTGAGTAAACAGGCAGTTTACCTACGCATCAAGTAGCAGGGTCTGGAGTTGAACCCAAGCAAACTGGCTCCATAATGCATGCTTTTAACTCCTACTTTATATTGCTCACAAGTTGGTTAAGTAGCTTATTAACCTTAAGTCATGTTAAATGATATAAAGGTAATTCCATTTAGTAAATAGCAAACATCTACTATTTAAATAGCAGGTAACTACAAAATTTTGAGAAGCCCAGACACATACAGTTTTTAAATCAGCAACTGAAAATCACACTCAAATGTACTCAATAATCTATTAGTTATTAATTAATGCCACCTTGGAGAATGATATATTACCTCTGACTCAAATCCAACCCAGATTTTCTCCAGCTTTGGAACACTACATTAAATAGGGGCTTTTGCATGTAATGACTATATTATACCAATATTCTTTAATGACTAGCATCTTCACCCAAGGAGATATCCCCACTGTTGAGATGATCATGGGAAAAGCAGATTAACATCTCCAAAACATATAGAGTGACTATCACAAGCAATTACCCACAGTACACAGACACAAGTATATACACATATATACATATACACACCTCAAAATCTCAAAAAATACCCTATCTTTTCCACTTTTGTGTCTCGAATACAATGGCAAACTGCCAGACTCTCAGTGAATGATGCTGAAGCAAGAATACTGATACAATCAGAGTGATACAGCAAGGATTTGAAGATGAAACGATTTGAAATTTTGAGTCTGATTTTCCACTTAAACATATGTGCAACATTAAGCAATTTGTGATGGCAGACCAAATTATGCTGACTATTCTAATACAATGCCCATTTAGTGGTTCTTGCCCAAAACATCTTTAAGTTATTGTCAGAGACTTTAAAACTCCAAGCCTCTGTTCATGCTGCTTACTCCCTATTCATATATCCCTTTCATCAACTCATATCCAATCTTTAAGAATCACCTGAATTCCAAATTCTCCATGAAACCTTCCTTATAAATTAAAAGCACATGGTTTGTTGATTTTTTAAATTAATTTTAATTAATTTTTTAAATTAATTTAATTTTTTAATTTTAATTTTAAATTTTTTTAATTTTTTTAATTTAATTTTTTTAATTTGAGGGAGAGGGACAAAGAGAGAGGGAGAAGCAGGCTTCCCTCTGAACATAAAGTTCAGCACGGGGCTTGATCCCAGGACACTGTGATTATGATCGGAGCCAAAATCAGATGCTTAATTAACTGAGTCACCCAGACACCTCCTGATTATTTACTTCTAATAATACTTATATTTTTAGTATCACACATTTTGTCACGTGACTATACTATCTCCTAATTGCTACCCAAGTAAGAATTTTAGTTTCCATGAACAAGAGAACATGGTTTTCCAGAGTTCAAAGGAAACATATTACTATGTACATACTTTCATTAAAAACTTAATTAACTGAACAGGAGAGGGAGAATAACCTGTATTTTTTTAAAAGGAAAAATATATCCCTAATAAACTGCAATTTTACACTACAGGACTGTGTGTTTCTTTTTTAAGGAATACAATCATTGTCTATGGCTTCTTTTGTGGAAGGAGGAGTTGATTTCTATTTTTTGTTTGTTTAGTTTTTATTTGGTTGTTTAGTTCCACTGGGATAATAAAAGTCAGAGAGGATCTTAGGTAATTTTCTACAGCTGAAAAAGATCCAACTATCTAGATTTTTTTAAATTGCTCTAGATGTGTGGTCAATGTAGAAGGATTTATTACCATTCTCTAACAAATAGAAGAATGGATAATGACTCTCTTTAGGGTTGAGAAACAAGTTTCTATCCATAGTCTGACCTACTTCAATAAATCCAGCTGACACTGGCTATGAAATTAGTACTTAAGTTTTTAAAACTGCTAAAGTGCCCTTAAAGCAACCCAGAAGGACAACCCAACTGTACCTATGGGAGCTTCACCTGGGAAGGACAAAAAGGATTTGTTCCACAGTGATTAATTCTACAAATTCATTTACATAAAATTCAGAATTACATAAAGAAAACACACTAATGTATATTTACGGAGTTTCAACTTTGTCTTGATCTCAGGGAAATGGGCTTAAACAGCACTTAGATGTTCATTTTATCAACCATTGAACTATTCAGAATTATGCTATCATTTAAAAAATAAGTACTTTCTTCGATAACAATACATCCTGTCTTTACATTTAAATTTTAAACATTCTAAGAAAAGAAAATTTGGCTAAAATTTTCCACAACAAATCCCCCTTCTATCTGTTCTTGGTGAGTAAGAAGAAACATTATAAACAGCAATGGATAACTTGAGAGACACTAACCAATAAACATTTCTTTCTTCTTTTTTTTTTTTTTAAGATTTACTTATTTATTTGAGATAAAGAGAGACAGACGGAGAGCACATGAGTGAGGGAAGGGGTAGAGGGAGAAGGAGAGAATCTTCAAGCAGACTCCCCACTGAGTATGGAGCCTGATCCCATGACCCTGAGATCATGACCTGAGCCAAAACCAAGAGTCGAATGCCTAACCAACTGAGCCATTCAGGTACCCCAAAACTGATTAATTAAACAGAATACAGTCATATTAACAATGATTGATATGTTGGAAAAAAAAAAACAACAGATTCTCTGTGGGCTTATCCCTCCTAAACAGCCAATACAACTTTGGGAAAAAGAATACTAGAATAAAATAACTTTCCTTGGTTCAAGTGTTGCTATTTGCTCAAAAACACTGGTAACACTTTGGATCAACTATAAAGGAACTGTGAATCTCTACAAGATATAAGAAACGATCAATACTAAAATCAGAATTTGTTTCCGCCCTGGGGCTCCTGGCTGGCTCAGTTGGTGAAGCATGTGACTCTTGATCTCAGGGCCATGAGTTCAAGCTCCATGATGGGTGTAGAGATTACTAAAACATAAATAATCCCCCCCCAAAAGAATTTATTTCCTCCCCAAAGCTTATTTAAAAGTAACAATCAAGGGCACCTGGGTGGCTCAGTGGGTTAAGCCTCTGTCTTCAGCTCGGGTCATGGTCTCTGGGTCCTATGATTGAGTCCTGCATCAGGCTCTCTGCTCGGTGGGAAGCGTACTTCCCCTCCCCTCTCTCTCTGCCTGCCTCTCTGCCTACTTGTGATCTCTGTCAAATAAATAAATAAAATCTTTTTACATAAATAAATAAAATTGAAAAATCAAAAAAATAAATAAAAGTAACAAGCAGGGGTGCCTGCATTGCTCAGTCAGTTAAGTGTCTGCCTTTGGGTCTAGTCATGATCCCAGGGTCCTGGGATCAAGGCCCAGGTCCCCAAGTCACGCTCCCTGCTCAGAAAGGAGTTTGCTTCTCCCTTTCTCTGCTCCTGCTAGCAAGCCCACACTCTCTCTCTCCCTCCACCTCTCAAATAAATAAAATCTCTTTTTAATTAAATAAATAAAAGTAACAAGCAATATTTATTCAATATTTTTAGGTCTATAAAAATCAATTACATAAGCAGCACTTAAGGGGTATAATGTAAATATTGTAAGGCATATACATTTTATTTATTTATTTATTTATTTATTTTTAAGATTTTGTTTATTTACTTATTTGACAGACAGAGATTACAAGTAGGCAGAGAGGCAGGCAGAGAGGAGGAAACAGGCTCCCTGCTGAGCAGAGTCTCCCCCACCCCTGTGGGGCTCAATCCCAGGACTCTGGGATCACGACCTGAGCGGAAGGCTGAGGCTTTAACCCACTAAGCCACCCAGGCGCCCCAGGCATATACATTTTAGAAAAATTTAAATTACAATACACATAAGTAGTTTGCCTAAACAATATATGCATTTCCAAAGAATAATAGATTAACATGAAGCAAGCTAACCTGAGCTTCCTCACTTGAGCGCTTCTTAATTACAACCTTAAAACAAGATAAATGAAAAGCAAACTAAAATAA